GACAGATGTGGACGAGTTTAAAGGACAGATGTGGACGAGTTTAAAGGACAGATGTGGACACGTTTAAAGACAGATGTGGACGTGTTTAAAGGACAGATGTGGACGTGTATAAAGACAGATGTGGACATGTTTTAGGACAGATGTGGACATGTTTAAGGACAGATGTGGACATGTCTTGCAGACACAGCGGAGGTGATCCAGTCCCGGCTCAACGAGCAGGAGGGTCGGGAGGAGTTCTACGTTCACTATGTGGGCTGTAAGTACTGGTTTCCTGTCCACACCTGTTCTCTGTTCATGCTGCTGGTCTTCAGAGGGTCTCTGATTCTGGTCTGCAGTCAACAGGAGGCTGGATGAGTGGGTGGGGAAGACTCGCCTGGCTCTCACCAAGACTGTGAAAGACGCCGTGAGGAAGAGCACAGAGGTCGGAGGTGTTGGAGATCTGGGCGAGCAGCCTGAGAGGAAGATCACTCGCAACCAGAAGAGGAAGCACGACGAGATCAACCACGTGCAGAAGGTGCAGATGTTTGTGGTTGTGCAGTGATGTAACAGGAGGTGCAGATGTTTGTGGTTGTGCAGTGGTGTAACAGGAGGTGCAGATGTTTGTGGTTGTGCAGTGATGTAACAGGAGGTGCAGATGTTTGTGGTTGTGCAGTGGTGTAACAGGAGGTGCAGATGTTTGTGGTTGTGCAGTGATGTAACAGGAGGTGCAGATGTTTGTGGTTGTACAGTGGTGTAACAGGAGGTGCAGATGTTTGTGGTTGTGCAGTGGTCTGACAGGAGGTGCAGATGTTTGTGGTTGTGCAGTGGTCTGACAGGAGGTGCAGATGTTTGTGGTTGTGCAGTGGTCTAACAGGAGGTGCAGATGTTTGTGGTTGTGCAGTGGTGTAACAGGAGGTGCAGATGTTTGTGGTTGTGCAGTGATGTAACAGGAGGTGCAGATGTTTGTGGTTGTGCAGTGGTGTAACAGGAGGTGCAGATGTTTGTGGTTGTGCAGTGGTGTAACAGGAGGTGCAGATGTTTGTGGTTGTGCAGTCATGTAACAGGCTTGTGTTTGAATCCAGACGTACGCAGAAATGGACCCGACCACAGCAGCCCTGGAGAAGGAGCACGAGGCGGTGAGTGATCTTACCTGCTTTAAACCTTCTGATGCAGGTAGCTCACATGCTAACACGGCCCTCTACTTCCTGTCAGATCACCAAAGTCAAATATGTGGATAAGATCCAGATCGGAAACTTTGAGATCGACGCCTGGTACTTCTCCCCGTTCCCTGAAGACTACGGCAAACAGCCCAAGCTGTGGRTCTGCGAGTACTGCCTGAAGTACATGAAGTACGAGAAGACCTTCAGGTTTCACCTGGTGGGTCCTCGCCAAATACCTGCAATGTGATGAAGATCAGTTAACTGATGATTGTGTTGTTAGTCAGTGTCTTACCTGCAGGGAACATGTGCAGAACACTTCCTGTGTGGACATAAAGAGGACTCATTCAACAGATGTTTAACCCTTTCCTCCTCAGTCTCACTGTCAGTGGAGGCAGCCTCCAGGAAAAGAGATTTACAGAAGAAGTAACATCTCTGTGTTCGAGGTGGATGGGCGGGACCACAAGGTGAGCTCACCTGCTGCTGTAGGTGGTGTGTCACAGAAACATTTAGTGATCGTTTGCTTCTGTCTGCCTGCAGATCTACTGTCAGAATCTTTGTCTATTAGCCAAACTGTTTTTAGACCATAAAACCCTTTATTTTGACGTGGAGCCGTTCATCTTCTACATCCTGACTGAAGTCAACAAACAGGGMGCGCACATCGTCGGCTACTTCTCTAAAGTTCGTCTCCCAGCCAGAACATTCTGCAGCAGAGTGGGCCAGTCACAGCTCTGACTGTGAGTCCTTGTTTTCCAGGAGAAAGAGTCTCCAGATGGGAACAACGTGGCGTGTATTCTCACACTGCCACCGTACCAACGCCGAGGCTACGGGAAGTTCCTCATAGCTTTCAGTACGTTGGAGTGTGAACAATACAACAGTCCGTTCATGAGTTATAAACATCTAACGTGTCTTAATGAGCCTTACCCCTATGTTTATTTCTGAAATACCAAAAGAAAATAATCTTTCTMTGAGGGAGAATTCTTTCAGATTATCATGAATTTCCTGTGTTTCAGGTTATGAGCTGTCCAAGCTGGAGAACACAGTGGGTTCTCCAGAGAAGCCTCTGTCTGATCTGGGCAAGCTGAGCTACAGGAGTTACTGGTCCTGGGTCCTCCTAGAGATCCTGAGGGACTTCAGAGGAACACTGTCCATCAAAGACCTTAGGTGAGCGCTCAGAAACACCTGTTTATACCAAGGACTGCTATTGCTCCRCGGAAACGTGCTAATGTAGCTTTCAAGGCTAATTCTGCTAACTTATCTAATGCAGCTAACAAAGCTGATTATGCTAACATAGCTCATGCAAAGACACCTGAAAAATGAAATGAAATGATGATGATACTTTATTAATCCTCAGGGGAAATTACAGTTGTATTGAATGGATACCAGAGCCACCCTGCAGACTAAAGCGGTAAACACAGATGGAAATTTACAGCTGTAACTACGGGTCTATGAATCCCTACCTCTGGCGGTCAGTAGGGATTCATAGACCYGTAGTTACAATTGTAACATTTGTTMTATTTCATYCCTACTGMCCACCAGAGGCGGTGCTTCAAGCACTGGATGACTYATGTCAACAACGTCACGAGGAATCTGTAAAACCCACAGCACCTCTCACCTCACTGGGATACAGGAGGAAGCTGCTGCAGAATATTTTGCARGGGATGGGGCACYGCCACATTCACTCTGTAGAACYGAGCAAAGGTGCTTGGTGATGTCCAGGAGGCCGCACTGCCTATGATGTCCAGCGGCACTCCAGTCATGGAGACCCACGAGGTCATCAGGCCCCTTGTGGAATGGCTCTTCACACCCTCTGGAAGCGATTGACCCATCGAGGCGTAAGACAGTGATTAGCCCCACGACCCAGTGTGAGAGTCGCTGCTTAGAAAGGGCCTGCCCTTTCAGAGGGCCTGCATAGCAAACAAAAAGATTGTGTCTTTCAGAAAGGTGCTGTGGATCTCACATACGCCTCCAGAGCACCAACGGGACACAGAGGCTCCGAGGGGGTCCCAGTGTTAAAACGGGCGAGCTGAAGCAGCTGTGTATCACCTACCACCACTGCCACCTTAGGGGTAAAAGGAACATCAGGCCATAGTGTCACACCTGAGCCGTCAGAGTTCCACCAACAGCATGGCTCAGCTATAGATAGAGCCTGCAATTCGCCCACATGCTTTGCAGAGGCCATGACCAAAAGGAAGGCCGTCTTTAATGAGAGCCTTTTGAGGTCTACYGATGTTAGGGGCTCAAACGGGGGTGACCGGAGACCCTTAAGCACCAAAGAAAGGTCCCAAGCCRGTGCCATAGGCTGGCTTGGTGGATGCAGGTGCCTAGCACCATTTAAAAATTGAACAATGTCTTGTTCTGGCCCACTGGACAGCCATTCAGCCCCACATGCCAACAGGAAATAGCAGCCACATATACTTTTAAGGTGGACGGAGACCGTCCCCGATCCAGTAATCCTTGCAGGAAGGTCAGTATGTCAGAGACTGAACACTGTACCAGGTCCTGTCCTTTGTGACACCAGTTTTCAAAGATCGCCCACCTGTTAGCGTAGGCAGCACGGGTGGACGGTGCCCATACATTAGCCATCGTTTCTCCTACTTCTCCAGCATACTTTGAGAAAGTGGAACCGGTCCTTGTAGGGGCCAGACCCATAGCTGGAGCTGATCTGGGTCGGGGTGGAGAACCCGGATCCCTCCTGGAGAGGAGGCGCATCGACAAGCTGGAGCAAAGCCTGTACAGCAGAGGAAACCAAGTCCTCGCTGGCCAAAAGGGGGCCACCAAGAGAACCTTGTGGCCCTCCTGGAGAACCCTCAGAAGAGTTGGAAAAATGAGACTGACGGGGGGGAAGGCATAAAGAAGGGTCTGGGCTCAGTTGTTTGCCAGTGGATCGCACCCCAGAGGGTTGGCTTCGTCCACTAGGGAGAACCAAAGGGGGTAATGAACTGCTTCCCTGGAGGYAAAGAGGTCCACCTCTGCCCTGTCGAAGACTCTCCAGATGTGGTCCACTACCTCTGGGTGGAGCTTCCATTCTCCCGGCAGTGGCCTCTGACGGGACAGAAAACCTACACTTGTGTTCTGTGGTCCCTGGATGTAGGCTGCCCTGAGGCTGGCGAAGTGCGGAGCTGCCCAGGTCAGCAGATGCTGGGTCAAACACAACAGTTTCTTTGACCTGGTCCCCCCCGATGATTTATATGAAAGACAACAGAGGTGTTGTCTGACCGCACCAGTACATGTTGGCCTTGCAGGCCCAGTAGAAAGCCCTGAAGGGCTAGAAATACAGATTGCAACTCCAGGACATTGATATGCTCTCTGGCCTGTTTCTGGGACTACACCCCTTAAATCGTCCGGTCTTGCCAGGTCGCACCCCACCCTATGAAGGATGCGTAGGTATACACTACCTCCTGTCGACACAGGAGGAGGGAGCCCAGTGGAACCCCCGTCGTTATGAACGACCTATTTCTCCACTGGGACAGGGATYGAAGAGACTGAGGCGTGACCCGAAGTCTCCTGAGCCTGTATGTCTGCCTGGTGGGGTCCAGGCTTGAGCTGTTTAGCCATCTTTGAAGGGGGTGCAATGATAGCAGCCCTTGGGGCACCAYGTTGGATGCGGCTGTGAGCATGCCTAACAGGCAAAGATACAGCACAAAAGGCTGTGCTTTGCAGCGCCTGAACTTCTGAAGCATGTCCAGAATGCTGTCGACCYGCTGGAGCGACGGGCATGCAATCATTTTGATGGAACTCAGGGTAATCCCTAGAAAATTTGTTTCCTGTGCCGGAACCAAACTGCTCTTTTTTTGTGTTCACCTGTAGACCCAGGTGCTCCACATGCTCTAGCACCCTCAGAGTGTCTCTGACAACCTGGCTGCGAGAGGCTGCACAAATGAGCCAATCGTCCAGGTATGGAAAAATCATTATCCCCTGAGCTTGCAGGGGGGACAGGGCTGCTGCGACACACCAGGTGAACACCCTGGGAGACAGGGAAAGGCAGAATGGCAAGASCCTGAACTGAAAATGCTTCCCTTGGAAAGTGAAACGAAGAAACCACCAATGAGACGTAGCATTTGGGAAATGAAAATAAGCATCCGTGCAGTCGATGGATGTGAACCARTCGCCTGGATAAATTGCCTGCAACACCTCCTTGGTGGTTAGCATGTGAAAAGGTATGACCTTCAGGWATGCATTGAGGCCCCTGAGATCCAAGACTGGATGTAGACCCCCGGTTTTCTTCGGGATAAGGAAATACTTTGAATAAAAGCCCCCTGAATCCTGCAGGGGGTTCACAGGCAGTATAGCTCCCTTGGCCAGCGAGGTACAGATTTCTTGATTCAGTGCCTGCGCCTTCGCCGGGTTGCGAATGATAGTCATTCTGGCCCGGACTGGGATTGGAGGCCAGCGTYGGAACTGAAGGCGCTACCCCTGGGACGCCGTAGAAAGCACCCACGAATCTGGGGTGTGGGTAGCCCAGCTGCTGAGCTGTTCCGGAGTAAAATATCCAACTGCCGGCCTTAAAGCATCACCTGCGGCCCCTCTGGCCTCTTGAAGGCCTGGGGGGACTGCGGCCTGGCTGAGCTGCCCACAAGGAGCAGGAAATCTGGGCTCCAGTCTGGTCCYCCTGGTTCGGGGCCGGTCTGCRGGCTGGTCTTGTGCCCGGGCTCTGGCGCTCCATAAGAGGTACAGGAGGGGGCGCAGACCTCCGAGATGGATCGGTCATTGTCCATGAGTCAACTGGTTGCAATCCTGTTTATGAAGCCCCGCCAGTCGCTGCCTCGTTAATAATAAATTAYGTCAATAATAAAACATCCATCCATCCATTTTCTGTACACGCTTCTTCCTTTTCAGGGTTGCGTGGGTCACTGGTGCCCATAT